ACGCGAGTTTATTGCGCGCGCAAATCACAACGAACGCAACAATCATTAAAAATTTAATTCAATGCGCTTCTATCAATGCGGCGAGATATTGTTTCAATTACATTACGCGAACACGACATCCGCGCATCGCAACTTGCCATCGTAAATAGTTTGTACGAGTCGTTACCATATTCTCGTGGTGCATCGCAATGCGTTCCATCGAGTATGATGACGTTACATCCGGAACAACGCCGTTTAATTCAAGCATTCTCTTTAGAATGCAGCTGAAGTTGTGCCAAATGAAATGAAACCACGAATATGCTCGCAAATTTAATTCGCCAAACCAGCTGCTCGAAAACCGCAAGTTTCTACTGTACGATAAGAGAATTATATGCAAATTATGTATATCGTTTTCAAATAAGTTCGATCAAACTAAATAAAAAACGGAAAATTATATATTCAGCGAATAAAATCTATCTTTAATCAGTAATTATCTTCGCTTTATATCTTGCAATTATTCTATTCAAATTGAGATGTAAATTTAAGACACACTTACGAACGAAAGTCGTATTATGTGCAACGATATGCTATCACGCTAAAAAATCATTACACCCAGTTGTATATCACTTCACGTGGAATCGATCGTTACATTTACAAACTCTCGTAACTTAAGTAAGTACACGATAGCAAAACATTAAAACCGGAGTCTCTTTGAGACTATTCAGGTTATCGCATCAGTGTTGCGCGCTAATAAGGAGCGTGACTTCAAATCCCGCGACAATTTTCCGTCCTACCACGTCGCCGTCGTCGTAACGGCAGGGCGCCGGTTATCGTCGCAAATTGCGGGGGCGTGTTACGCGTGTACGTGGATCGGATAAGCAAGTCGCGCGAGACGATCGTGCCGTAAATTGTCGACGGCGATGATAGCGCGACGACGGGAGGCTGTAACGCGCGCCGCCGACGGATCCACAATCTGCATAGCCAGGCGGCGGCGAAGGTAGGGCCTCGATAACGCTCGCATGGAAATTGAATTCCGCCGGAAACGAAGAGACTCGTCGCCCACCGAACTGCAGCGCTCGTGTGACACAACGGGCCGCCGCCGCCGCCGCCGCCGCCGCAGCCCGTCGACGGCACCGATGCAACGCGAAAGCAGCCAACATTACGTTGGTGAAACTTTCCGACGAAACCCGACTCCGATTTCACGGGAAATAATATTGCGCAACTCGTAACCATCGACCCTTTTGACCCTTGTAGCGTGAATAAACCGTGGTCTATATTAATCTTAGCCAAAGGGTTGCGGCGCGATCTGAAACATCTGAATCCCCACGGCATTAATATTTTGTCTGCGCCACAGTTTAAATCAGCAATGAGCTGTGATAACCCGTTCAAGTTAGGCACGTGCGACCCTTACAGTTTCGTTACAGTACGACACTGCAGTGTCTGCACTTCCGTTCGGAGTGCGCAAAACTTTAAGTTATCCTTCATATTCCACGCCCGTTCTGTCCTAATTACGAGGAGTGGCAGCGCGCGCATGCAGGCACAAACTCGTAAACGTAACAACTATCTGTATAAATTGTATTTGCATTTGCACGCATAATGTCCCGAAATTCCACTCGCGAAGTTACCATCGCGCCGTATCGCCAGCGCACCCGTCGCTCGTATTTGCGCAGTCTCGTGCGTGTGTGCAAACAGAATGCACTAATGTGTACTTGTGTGCGCGACAATGCAGCCGTGGCAGATTCACATTTACGCGCAACCAGGCGTTGTATATCCCTCGCGGAAAAGCTTACTTATCGCGCGTATTAGGAAGTCGCATTTTGCAGCGGTCGAGCGTATCCCAGCGTATTATGCCCTTTTAAAAAACCGCATACCGCTCTGTACATTAATTATGGAAAAAGACAGAAGAAATATTCTTCCATTGTTAGAAAAAAAAACTAGTTATTATCTTAGCAAAGTTTTCCTAAAAAATATAATTTCCTCTCTCATTCTTTTCTGCTCAAATTATCTAATTGGCTCTCTTTCGCGGTTCTTATTTTAAAAATTAATTGGAAATTAGTCTCTCAAAATAAATTTTGCTACAGATGGAACAAACCGTGTGTTTTATTTTTAAACGAGCGGACAGTGAAGTCTGTTTACTCTCATATGCTCTTTGAATATTTTCTATTACTATTAAATATGCATTACACACTAGGCAAATGAATCCATTAACGCCCGGAAAATGCAATCTAAAAAGTTTTCACGCAAGTAATGATAAAATGAAAAGGAGATATTATTGTGCGTCAGGTAATTGTTAATTTTCGAATAAATACAGAATTTTTTCCAACGTCATTGCAAAACATTTTACAATTCAACGAATCGTTATTGTTTAGCGTGCCAAAAAGTCACGTTTGCTTTTGACGTGTGCATCGCGATATTTTATTCTTCGCATTACGAATATTTAAAATCGAGATAATATCTTTATGATAATTCAATTGAATTAACTATACAGCAAAACCTATTAATAATTCCGACGAGTCGGGATAAAACGGGAATAATAGCTTTTCGATTATGTGTCGCTGGGGCGTAAATTACATCTCCCGCGACTAGTTCTCGGGTTAACGAGAATTTGAGGAGGCCGGAGCAATCTGCCATAGGCTTTTAGAGCGATCGCCTTTTGCGTGCGGCAGCCGTTGACACCGCTCGAAAGTTTTCCCATCCCTGTGTCGCCACGCGCATCCCAACGGTGAAGTTTTCAAAAGCTATTTTAATTAACGACTCGACGGCTTTATGAAAGCACCTTGACGTGGTCGAAGAGGATGCGGGGCTTTTCGGACTTTTTACGAGCGATTATCGCGAAAGAGCATGTCACACGGAGGCTGAAAAGTTGCGCAATTATCCGCGCTTTCTCATCGGCTGCTCGCATCATTGCGACCAACTTGCCTTCCTCTGTCCCCTTTAAGATCGCGCAGTTATCCGCGTTATGGTGACGCGACTACTGCAGGGCAATAACGCACGAGTGAGTGTCCCACATTTTATCGACTGTTATGACGATCGCTGCATTTGACAATGTGAGTAAGCGAAATATATAAATTGTTTCTCTCTGAACTTTGGAATTTCGGAAAATAATTCTATCATTTCATCACAATTGCGCCATCGGGAATAAATTTCCCTGGCAAAAGTTTTTATGCCACTTCCGTTCGTAAAGAATGGCGTGGCCTGTGCAAAAAATATTTCGGAAACAATCGATCGAAGTCGAGAAAGAAAAGAATATCCTATGCTATCCTACACCGTCGATACTACGTCGAGGAAGAGGACGAAATCATGAAAAATGAATCGTTATCAGATCAGACATTTCTTCACAATGAATTTTTTTCGCCATCATCCGACCGACCAGCTAATAAAACTTGCGCAAAAAAATCAACGAGTTGGCTTCCTAAAGAGCCACTGAGTGTATTTTATTCAAAAGGATCGGCTGATCAATCGATCGGAACTCGGCAATGAGCCGACGAGGGAGATTCTTCGCCTCCGTCAGGAAAATAAGCAGAGATTACGTTCTCGTGGGATAAAGATGGTATATATCGAGATGAGTTTTCGGAGCAACTATTTGAAAAGGCGCACTCCTACGGGCTTCCCTCTGCTTCCGCTCTTATCTACTGATACTACTACTAGTTTGAATGATTAAATGGATTCTGAAACTCGACAAACTGAAGTAGCTCGCGATAACACTGTTTTACGAACATTATTTTTATACAGGATATATTTGTTTGTTGTACAAAAATATTGCAAAAAAATATGCAAAAATGATAAAAATACAATATTTTTAAAAGCTTAATAAAATATTTTGATTTATGCTTAAATTATTACAAAATACCAGTTATCTAATTTAATTTCTCGTTTGCATTGATATTTTGGAAAATATTGAGTAATGAAATAATAATAATAAAATAATAATAATAAATAATAAATAACGAGGAAACTGAAATATGTATATTTATATTTATGTAAACTCGAGCATCTATAGATGATATTTATTAAAATTTACAAAAAAAAAATTAATTATTTATTTATCTAATTAAGTTTGGTTTCCATTTAATACATTTTTCATAAAATTATATTTTAAGCGTGTAATTAAAAACATATAATTTTAATATAAATGGTATATTAAAGGTAATGAATATTTCTACCAAGCTCAAAAAAATTAAAATGCTAGAAATAATATATGCACCTCAGAAAATTATATAACACATTTGTATCTCTAAAATAAGAATTCCTTTAGTTATTTAATTAAGTTTGATTGTTATTTAATATGTTTTCAGTAAAAGTGAATTTTATAAAGTATATAATTTTGATGTAACTGTGATATATTAGAGATAATAAATAAAATTGCCTTGCTAAACATGAAAGAAGTTAAAATGCAATGAGTAAATGATGAATATACGTATTTCTTAGGAAATTACATGACACTGTAAATGGTTTTAAAACAAAAATAATTGCAGTTTAAAACAGTCATTTTGATAAACGCCTCGACTGGCTCGACAGTCAGTTGGCACGCTCGAGAGCATTCCCTCGGTGAAACGGCGAATTTGAATAACGGCGAAGCGTAAGGGAAGCCGAGCTCCGCGGCATTAATTCAAGACTCGTATACCGCACTTACGGCACGCGATTAAACACAGCTCCGTGTCTCTCAGTATTAAATGCAGTCGCGCAATATTATGCGTTTACACACCTGCTTTATGTCTTATCTAAATATTCATTGGTTCTGGTGTAAGCTTTTTCGATATCTGGCGAACTGATTCGAGCGCTGAAAAATGTTTGTATTTGTCACATCATTCGTATGCATGTTTCTTCAAATAAATCCGAAATGGAAAATGTGACGTGTGAATGCAGACTGGCGCGATTTCAAAGCGGAAGATAGTTCGTGCAAAGCACGTGTCGACTGATTTGACAATTTCGACTTTATCGCCGCTAGGAACGGCAAATGGCGAACGATGAGGCGGTAGGAAAAACGCCAACCTAATCGCCGGAAAATAAGCTGAGCTTACCTTGCCTTGGTGACAGAGAGACGGTGACAGAAATATCGTTGAATTTCTGAGACGGTCCGCTTTAATGCAACAGTGCCTGGTGCTTCTACGTGTCTGTCTTATGGACATCGCTGAGCCGCAGATTAGAAAAACTCATGCTCGCCACGACGAAGGATGCGCCTGAAAAAAGTAATTCCAGAGATTATTTTCTGGATGGAGGGAGAAAAGAGTCTTTGCGAACGAAGTAATGTGCGAAAGAGTATATCCAGAATAAAGAAAGATGCCAAAAAGTACTTTCCGCAATTTCCCGAACATGTTAGCGGATAAATAATCTTTAATTAAAAATCTTACAAAACCAAACCGTATTACCTTATCATTTTCTCGTGATAAATGAAGCATTAAGAGCAAGAAAATGGTTTAATGTCGATAATAGAAAAAGTTGTTTTTCAATTTAAACTTTAGGTCGTATTTTTAATAAATGCAATTTTTGCTCATCTGCTTGCACTTATCCGCTTTTTACACATCAGAAGATAAAATATATAAATAAATATATAAATCTAAATAAATCTAAAAATAAATTTAAATAAATAAAATTAATAAACAAAAATAAATCAATTCATTTTTCGGCTTTTCTCATCATTTTTGAATCCTATTCACCCGTCGATTAACTTTTTTTAAAAAAAAAAATTACTCTCTCGGTGCTTTTCCATTCAAAATATTACATTTAAAATTAAATAAAATTTGTTATATTTCGTGAAGTTTTTTAATTGTTCAATATACGAACAATTACAGACAGCGCACAATATATAACGCTGCAATGTATAATCAAAAATTCGCTTAATCCTTTCATACAGTACTTAGTATTTGCATTTTCCATTATAATTGATTTCCCCGATATTTCATTGCGATCATTAAATGTACGCGCACGTAACTGCGGTAAAATAATTTCATATTTAAACGATAAATATTACTGCGGTTTCGGTGTCGCGGCTAATCCTCGTTTATACGAATTAACGCGATAAACCGAATTATTATTTAGAGAGACCGCGGCTTTTTCCCGCGCTACGGGAAAAAGTTTGCAGCTGGGAAGATATCGAGAGATTTAATAGAGGAGCGGAAAAGGCGGATGGGAAAAGAGCGGAAATGAATGACGGAGAAGAAGAAGGGTGCAATTTAGTCGGCGTAAACCCTGAGCCCGCTAAGCGAGTAACTACGGTCAATTAAGCATCCTCTGCCCTCGAACCAATTACAGTGTACGATTCAAATATATCGACGAGAGAAAGTTCGCACGCGAACTTACACACTCGTGAAATACAATTCGCGCAGTTGTATAAGTTTTGTGGTCGACGCGACTAGTTTCATGCTGCGCGAGAATTATTCACTAACGGCAACGAAGCAATTGCCGTTACATCGCATACCGGCCTATTGTAATAATTAAACAAGCCACAACTACCGACGGCGACTCGCATGTCGTCCTTTAAACCTTTTCCCGGAATCAATCATGTCAAAAACAAATGAAATTTTCATTGAAACGTTAAGTGTTCTTCGAGAAATTGCACGACACTTTTTACCATATACTTTCCGACAAAATTCTTTTCATTAATGAAAACTCCACTTAGGAAATTGCAAAAAACCTGATCAACAGTGAGATTAGATATGATTTTGACATTCCGCAAGATACTTTTCTATTAATCGAAACTAGCGATTAACTGACGACGAATCGATCGCAGTAAAAAGCTGAAAGCGAAATAATATGCAACGAGATTCCCCGATATTCATGCATTCATGACTGTATTGCTAATATTCGAATTTAGATAAGCTTTTTCTCGTGACGTTGTAAAAACGTCACGGAAGTCGGCATGATCGAATCGCTCCGCCGACGATATGCCTCCCACCCAAAACCTATTTACATAGTTATAGGAATATTTCAACCGTCCATCGGGCTCCGCCATCGCCGATAACTAGGATAACGATCAACTCGCTCTCGCAGACTCACGCTCGGTCCCTGCGATAATCGCCAGCGATCCATCCTGCTTAATCGCGCGTCTCGATATCCAGCGACTTGTTGAAAATACGTTTCCGCGAACGCGTCTAATCCAACAGAAGCGATTTTACTTTCTTCACGCTCGGATGAAAATACGCGTGGATTCGTCGCTGGAGAAGTTTGGCGGCGAAGAACTTTCTCGAAATATTCGTCATGAGCCCCGGGAAATGAGAAAAAGTTACGAAACTACACGATTAGGATAACATCCACCAGGACCATGTGATTTCCGGCGGAGTTAAAGTTCTTCCCGTACGTCGGGATGCTTGCTGCACTGTTTGTAAAAGCTAATGTATACTCGGGGCGACGCAAGATTACCATATAAACCACAAAACTCTTCATGTCCTCTCGCAATTCTATCGACCCGGGCTGCTCGCCCTTTACTCTTTGTCCCATCCTTCGTTCCACCATAACACATTTGCTTCAGCTGACGTAGGTAGCAAAGCGTTTCCCTCACGACATGTGTCCTTTAAAGGGTAGAGACCCGCCATCCATCCATCAATTAAGGTGCAATTACAATAAAACAATTTGCCAAAAAATAAAAAAAAAAACTTTGGCTCGGAGAACATGCTTCAAAGATATATAAAAAGCTATTTGGCATGTACGCGCAATTTTAGCACGTCGAATTGTGCCAATATTTTTCACCATATTGCTCCTTGTAGAGCAACAGACATTTCGATAAATGTAAGCGTTTTTTTGCAAACTTGAAGTTTAAGAAAACGAACCGGCGAGCCGCGACGTAATTGCCTTTCTTTTTTATTTTCCTTTTCTTCGACCGCCGCCATAAAGAACATTGGGTAATCCATTCGCTTAAATGTAAAGATTCGAGGGGAAAGTTTCGGTTACTTTGGTAGCACACATTCGTCTCGGAAACAATCGCCGTTATCGATTGTCTTTCGCGACGGTATCAGCTTCTCTCACTGAAATAAATTCAATCCGCCAAACGAATCACCACTGCATTGCGACGACTTCTCTTTTTTCATCCGTCACTTCTAGTTATGACACGTTTTCGTTGTGTATTCAAGTAAGCGCAGAGAAATATGTAACGTTCTGCTGTGTACAAACATCCTTCGGCCGACAACGAAAAACGACTAGGATCCATCCATCCGCGGCGTCGCATAAAAATTTGATCACTTTCGTGTGACAATCGAGTTTTTCAATGACACCTCCGTACTGAATTTACCGAGAAAATCCGTCGTGTAGTAAATCACAGGACGCTTGATACTAGCCTGGCGAGCACCGGAGGACAATAATTCTCGCCCCCGCTCGCCCCGCGACTCTTTCCGTCGCGCTAACGCGCGCTTTTTCTTGCCGGGCACTTCTCACACGTAGAATAACTCGATCCTGCTGTATACACCGTACAGCCGATAATTAATTACCTCCCCTCTTTTTGTTTCTGTTTCAGTCACCGAGAAGGAGATTCGTCAATGGTAAGTTTGACTCAAAGAAAGGCAATCGGCTATTATGCAAACTTGTTGGAATTTGGACAGCATGATTAAAGATCTGACCGAAGAAAATCATTTGTGAGAGAACGACATTAATTCAATTTTACGCCAAGTTAAAAGAAAAGTTATTAGAACAAAAGTAGACTCGACAAATTCGTTTCAATATTTTTAAAACAGTAATTTAACTATAAATAATGTGCGTACTATTAGTAATATGTGATTTTAAATATAGTTACTTATATTAGAGTTACTTTACGTTATTTAGGCACAAAGGATTCCTAAAGGATTGCCCCGATGGATTGCTGACAGAACAGGTAATCGCTATCAAATTTTATTTTAATTGTTATTAACTTTTTCCCGCGCCTTTCTTTACACCTGTCAAAGATATTTGCAGCATAAAAAAGATATGATGTAAAGAATCCTCCAAATTAATACGAATTTTTAGCCAAATGTATTATTCAATACGAAACGTACATTAATCATAAGGAAAAGGTTAATCGCCGAAAATAATCAAAAACTCGAGATATGTATGACGCTCGCGTGATTTCAGGGCTTTATAAAGATCTACAAGCAGTTCTTCCCCCAGGGTGACCCGTCAAAGTTCGCCTCTCTCGTCTTCAGAGTCTTTGACGAAAACGCCGTAAGTGTCTCGTCATGTGTGTGTGTGTGTGTGTGTGTGCGCGTGTAACACGCCTGTGTTTTCCGCGAACCCTCGTCCTTTTCAAATTTGCATTTGTCATGTCGACGTTTGCGTGCAAGGACGATCACGCGATGATGTTCTCTCGATCATCGCGCTGAAATTATTTCTCTTCCCTATCGCTATCATCGCTCTAGTAACGTCTTTATTGCCGCCTAACTGTCAGTTAAGCATTTATTTAGTCCGGTATTCGATAAAAAATAGTCTGTTAATTTACATAATGAATTGCACATCGAGCGGATTCTCACGCAAAAGCTGAGGCGAGCATCAATCCGACGGACGCGAATTGATCGTTGATGTTTAATCAACGCTGATTCATTTCTCGAGCAGCCGAGCGAACTTTGATATTCTCACCAAATCAAGTACATTTATTGAAAATATCGGAAAATGCACGAGATAGAAGTTATTTTTGTGGATTCTTCTCGCAGTCTAGTCGACTTATTCGAAAAAAGATAAGGATACCCGAAAGGGAGAAAACTATTTGCTCGATGTATCAATATAGTTGGCTAGCAAGCGGTAGCTATACGACTCAGAAAATCGTGATTGCGAAGTGATCCCCGAGTAATCCGCGATCGATAAGAAAGAAGCATTTCGTGTGCGACGCTCGGGACAAAATAAGAATACGTTCAATTGTTGTTTCAGGATGGCACGATAGAGTTCGAGGAGTTCATAAGAGCGCTTTCGGTGACGTCACGCGGCAACCTGGACGAAAAGCTTCACTGTGAGTGCTTCCCTAGCCCTCTCGAAAAACTTATCCACTAGAATTTAAGAGTTCTCTCGTGAGCTACTTTGTTTACTTATCTTTGGATACATCAGAGACAATCGCCGGCAAGCCCGCCGCGTATCCCATTTAATTTGCTAGAATAATTAAGTCGGAAACTTAAATCATCCAACTTTATCAGGGAAAAAGAAAAAAATTCCCTGCTTCTAACTTTTCATAATCAAACCGGAACTGTTATTTTTAGAAATTGTTGCTTTTACATTTTCACAAGAAATTCACAAAATTGAATGCAAATTTTAATAGAAATAAATTAAACCGAGATCACTTTTTTATTTAAACATCGAGCAATAAATGAACGTCCGTATTTGCCCGCAAGTTATATTTTGAAAAATTGTGAAAACGTATTGCGAAAAGAATTGTTACACATAAAATTCAAGACGAGCTATGAAAGATGATCGCCGCAATATGAGACGATAAATGATGAGACTCTCGATTGTTCCCTCCGAGAGAAGTGCTATCGATGAACCAAATAACAATCTGAACGAAAAGGAACAATGAGATGTACGGCTTCGCCGCGGATATCACGATCGCGGACGAGATATCGCCGGAGAGAAAACTTGCAAGCTTGCGAGAGGAGTGTATGTGGATTTTCCCTCCGAGCAAAGAGCACTTTCGAATTCTGTATCTTCCAGGAATTCAGTCGCAAAAGTCAATTGCGTTCCTCTCTTTCTTTGTCTCTTTTCAGGGGCTTTTCGTTTGTACGACGTGGACAACGATGGCTTCATCACGAGAGACGAGATGTACAATATAGTCGACGCGATATATCAGATGGTGGTAAGTGCACCCTTTTCAAAGTGCTCGGCCTGCGAGAAAGTCCTCGACGTAAAACATTTAAGCTCTTTGACTTTGCCGGTTTCGAAGCATCTTCTTATCACCGCAAGTTCCTCCAATAATGAATCTGTACGATATGCCTGTTATGCTAATCATTAGTATGGTATTAAATTTAATAGTAATTACAAATTTTTGAAATTTTTAGTGTTGAAATTATTTTTCAATTTTCTTTAAGTTCCAAATAATTTATTGTTGAAATTTAATAACGATGGAGGACCAGCTATCGAGTTATTATTTTATCGTCATATTGCTTATTGCACGCTTATTTGAGAACTATAAGATCGTTCATTACAGCGTAGGATTCGCTTACGCTTCCTTAACGACTAGGTTGCTGCAATGCAATCGTAATGACTCGTGTACAACGTGCTCGATATCAAGTCAATATTTTATCTCAACGAGCGCGTTACATGTAACCTAGCGGAAGTTATAATCCTCTTGTGCTAGCTTCTATTCCCGGCGTGCCAAAAGCGAGTTAGCGATGTAAGCTAGAGCGTCGTCTTTCCGCAGCTGCTTCTGACAAGCGCGATATATGCAGTTTCTTTGAAGTTGAGATGTGTCCTATTATATGCACTATAATCCCTTCCGCGATGCTGCGTATTGAAAATTTAATTGTTTCATTCGGAACGACGTTGTCGTAACACGCGACGTGGGCGGAAAATACGCACTAGTTGGCGCGTGTTCTTGCTAAAAGCACCTTCCTCTGTAATGCAGAGAAAGGCGCTAACTAAATTACGAACGAAGTTTAACATACGAACAAAGGTTAAAAAGACCCGCACGCGCCGTCGTGATTGCGCACTTTCAGCTGAAACTTTTCGCGAAATGCATGTTACTTCCATCGCGACATGAAAAACTCGCGGAAAAACTCACGCTACACGAACTCTTGAGAGATCGGGTAAAATATGCCGACATTGCGGAGTGTTGTTTTATAGAGAGAGTTGCCCGTGCAAATTTTTGCGCAAAACTCGTTCGACGCGACGCGCGGCAAATCCGTCGCGCGACAACGGTTCGCCATTAATCACCCCCAAGTCTCGTTAATATTAATCTCAAAGAGAAATACAGTGACATATTATATGCATACCCCCGCGAGGACTCGGTAATCCATAAACATGCGGGTCGCGCGGCTGACAAAAGCGCACGAACCGAAACTTTGATAACGTGTAGACTTTGAAACAATAAACTCGATCGAGCCACGTAACACGATTGAAAGCTAAATGTAGCCGATAAAACGATATGCCGGATCACAATGGTCGGCAATTAGCGGATCGGTTGGTTTCAATTAACCCCGCCGTATCAAACGATGCATTAAAAGTCAATATCTCGCGATATTATAAACTATCAGATGGCACTATCGGAGCAATAAATGCGTTGCAATAAAATAATAATAGATAATAAAAATTCATCATTGCCGTTGTCGAAATAGCAATAAAATTTCACAATAGTAGGAATTAAATTTTCTATATTATAGCTATCATGCATGTTTAGCACTAAAATTCATTAATAAATTATTATGTTAACATTCTCTAAGACTATTGTTAGCTACTTTTTAATTCGCAAAATGCACACTATTCGTAATCTGTGATAAGAAACTATTTCAATCCACTAAGGAGAAGTGCAATTTGAGAATTATAGGATAACATTGGTTAATGAAATTCTAAGCGGAGGACAATGGTGGATGTTTCAGGGACAGCAGCCGCAAGCCGAGGATGAGAATACCCCGCAAAAGAGGGTCGACAAGATCTTCGATCAAATGGACAAGAACCACGACGATAAGCTTACGCTCGAGGAATTCCGAGAGGGCAGCAAGGCCGATCCAAGGATCGTCCAAGCGCTCTCGCTCGGCGGCGAGTAACCCCAATTCTCATCAACGGCGGCACGCGAGCCATCGAAATCGGGAGCCTCGACATCGTCATCATCAACGTAATTGTCGACGCGAGCTTGGCGAGCCGCTCGTCCCGATAATCGGCCGATGAGAAACGACTTTATGAAAAGGCAAGTCCACATCCGCGCGGTTTGGCATGCACGCGAAAAAATAGATAGGCAATAAGCCGAAAGGCGTCTGAGATGCAGAGATTTGCGAATATTTTTGGAGAGATCTCTCGTCGATGAGTTAGTCTGTATCACTTCTTTTTTACTCTCTCTCTCTCTGTTTCTCTCTCTCTCTCTCTCTCTCTCTCTCTCTCTCTCTCTCTCTCTCTCTCTCTCTCTCTCTCTCTCTCTCTCTCGTCGTCGTCGTCGTCGTCGTCGTCGTCGTCGTCGTCGTCGTCGTCGTCGTCGTCGTCGTCGTCGTCGTCGTCGTCGTCGTCGTCGTCGTCGTCGTCGTCGTCGTCGTCTCTCTCTCTCTCTCTCTCTCTCTCTCTCTCTCTCTCTCTCTCTCTCTCGTCGTCGTCGTCTCTCTCTCTCTCTCTCTCTCTCTCTCTCTCTCTGTCTCTCTCTCTCTCTCTCTGTCTCTCTCTCTCTCTCTCTCTCTCTCTCCTCTCTATCTCTCTTTCTCACTCTCGGAGAAAGATCGGTTCTCGTTCCCCGTTGGTGAATCGATCGCTCCATCTTCGTTAACGATCCGATTTCGAGAATCTCGGTGCTAATAATAGATGTCTAGCGTTCGAGTAATCGTAGCTTTCAAGGAGACTGGACGTGGCAGATTACATTTTTAGCTAGAGACAGCGTGCGGAACAACAATACGAATAAATTGTTAGTACGAACGATGAAGATAATATAAATCACAGGGAAGAGAACTCTCGTCGGGACGTTCTCTCGTCTCTACAGCACTTTCCTTTGTCGCATAGCTCCGCTTCCCTCAATTTCCCTTTCCCTTCACTTTCCTTATTCCGCTTGGCAAAGTAACGTCACGGTAATATGAGGTAACGAGTAAAACTTGAAGACACTCGACAAGCACGCTGCTCGAATTTCAACGAAGCTCGCCGGGATTATTTCCGATCGCTGCAGCGCGGCGCTGCATTGGGGGAAAAGAGAACGAGAATGGAGCAGGGACGACGGGTGGGTAGCAAGAAAATTACAGCGGGGGTTAAACATTCAAATGCAGACAACTACTGATCGTATATTGTGCGGCGTTGGGTAGCGAGTGCGGCGAACAAAAATTCTAAAGTTACAATGAGCTCGCATGCATTTCAACTACCGGCAAAACCGACGAGAAGATCTGAGAAATGTACAAATTTCGCAATAATGAATAGCGCAGTAACAACAATACAATTCAACCGTTCCTTTTTATTTTTTTATTTTTTATTTTTTACGCAACACGCTTTTATCCAATTTTCTCATCGTTACTAATTCAACCGTAAACGCCGATAATGCGGACTTTTATATAATATTTTACATAATCGCTTAGATGTGTTGTAGATTATTCATTTTGAAATGTCAAAAAGTACGAACTACGTATTGGATGTTAACGAGCGTTGCGTGCTACTGGCAAAATTGCAACGCCGATTTGACGCCGTCGATCGTACCATTTGCGCGTGTAAGATGATTTCTCGAGGAACGGCGGCGGCGCCATCGCGAGAGTATCGACTCGCGTTGCGTAACGCGCGGCTTCAGACGGCGTGGCAAAAATTCGGAGATACGGCGATGATGACTAAGCAAAGGAGAAGATGGATAATGACAATCCGCTTTCCGCGATATTAATAAGCGTTGCATGTTTTACGTCATTTACTGTGAAGCGGTCGGTTGTACAATCTACCAGCTGCACCGCGTATATTATCAATGGAATCCTCGCAAAATTATAGAATATATAATCGGAGAGAAACGCGAGAGAATATGATTAAAGTAAATGTAGGAAAACGATATGCCACCAACCCCTCAATTATAACAAGCAAAGTTATGTTATTATTGGCTGTATCACAAGTGCGCTTCGATAATGGAATAACCACTGGACGCTGTAAAAATGGAATTATAAAGAAAGCGAGATTGATGAAAATAATGGATAAGCTTATTAAATATGAGTGATAACAACCGATCGTTGAATATTAACAAACCAAAGTTGGATCCTCGCCTGAAATCAGCCATTGATGCTCTTGATATTCTACTTCCGAACTTCGAAGGGTCAAAATTTTCATTCAAGATGATTCAAGTGGAACAAAGCTAACGATCAATAAAGGAAAGAGTACTTGGCGTAATTTAGAATGAGTATTTTTATCCGAAAAAAAAAACTAATTAAAAGTTGCATGAAAAAAAAGGTGTAGCGAGACGGAAGGAGCATGGTAATCTACATTTCTTGCATAATGGCGATCAATTAATCATTATAATGTAAGACGTGCTTTCATCTAATATTAAAATGAAGTCAAAAGACGCGAAACGCGAGAGGGCGAGAAACGTCAGATTGAAAGAGAGCGAACGAAAAGAGCGATTATACGTTGAGCGAGGGGAGGATTACGCTTTGAGCGATCTTTGCGTTTGACAGAGGCGATTAAGACGAAACGAAGGAAAATGATTTCACGTCAAAAATTCCCTCGATTGACGCAATTGATTCTCCGTAATCGTGCGGCGCACACGGAGAGACAATAAAGCGAAACAAGGAGCAAACTACGATAACGACTTGCATTTAGCAGGGGCGTCCGCGCGACGGTAACATTATTGGTACACGGATTTATCGGAATTTCGGATCTCCTATTCTCCGATATTAAGGAGAGCGTCAGATGGTCGTCGGGATAAGAGCGGGGAAAATCCAGCGCGACAGAGCGAGAGCGTCAAGGACGATTAAAGGCAGCGGCGGAGGTTATAGATGGGGCAAAAAGAGACGCGCCAGGTCTCCCCGATCGATCCGTTATAACATTCTGCATTCCGCAGAATATGACCGGACGAAATGCGGGCGGATCTACGTGGAAAACAAAAGGAATGTCGGAAAGTGTGAGAAACGCGAGGAAGGAAGGAAGGAAGAACGGGGCGGAAAGAGCCAAGCGGGGCGGAAGGAACCAAGCCGCGCCCCGATGGCATTTCTTATACGCGCGCGATCGGACGAGGATGGATTCCGCGCCGATGAGGAAACCCGAGGTCATAAATCTTGCACGGTTCGCGATCCCCGGGTCAGACGCTTTTAAAGAATAAACTGATGTTTACACGAGGAAGAGGATAGTTGTCGCGCTGCCGAGAAAATTGAGAAAACATTTCGCGAAAGCGAGCGCTGGGTGCGGACAGAAATAGTGAGTTAAGTAAGGTCTGAGACGAGATCGCCGACGACTTATGAAAAATGCATAGGCACTTGGTCCGGCACTGCCATGCAATATGTAGCGCGTTACTGCCAAAACTGCACGGCGGAGCGCCTAAACTACATTTCCGGCAAAAAAATTAAAGTTCGCGCTTCCTCGGCTTATTCCTCTTCAACAATGCGCCTTTCTTGCAACTTTTATCAAACGTATTGTACTGCGCGACCGTATTAATTTGATATGACAAGAACGAGAACAAAAAATTAATTTATTTCCTTTCCGACGAATGTAAGCGTGTTAATGAGCATATTTCAAAACATGTTTGCGACGCACGTTTCAGAAAAAATCCCTCGCTACAGCGAGGGGAATTAAATGTTTTTGTAGAGAGAGAAATAAGTTTACGGATGTGAATAAAAAAGGATGCCCTTTGAAAAACTCGAATTCACAGTGCCATTGAATTTTCAAAGCGGAACCCTATCTCTCTCTATCGCTTCGCGCTCCGCCATTCTGCGATTGGGTGAGTGTAAAGCGAGAAGAGATACGAGTCAACCTACATAGAGGAAGCAGTCCGCGCAGGAGAAATGTCGCGTAACCAGCAGCGAAAATTCACAGGTCCGGAATATCTCTAGAGATTTAAATGCGACGCTACGAAGCACACGTTATTACTCTAAATAACGTGCACTTGCATTAATTCGCAGAACGGATGAAAAATTGTGTAAAAATTTTTTTACACACTAGAGATTGTGCAGGGCCGATGCGTAAAAATAAATTCAACGTCCGTTGTGTGATGAGCAGATATTAATTTTACAAGATATATATTCGACATCGCGTTTTTTGCGAAATAAATCGCCGCTTAAAATTCGACCACTATCACGCATGATTTAAGATTCGTAATGCATTTCGCACACGAATGAATGAACCAAACGCGTGTTGAACAATGCAATGAAATAAATTGTTTCGTTGTGTTTTTCGGGCATTAACAACGTACCGCAGCTCAATATGGTTCCCGTGTATTTTATCGCACGCTCTTATTCTTTAATTTTTCATTTACAAAAGGCTACGCAGACCCACACCAAGCTTCATGTAACCGTGTGTACGCGGAGAATTATGAATGGTTCGCCTAGCATCGGCATTACGATAAATACTACCTCGCCTCGAGGCAAGACAAGCTTTTCGCCCGACGGAATGAAAAAACGAGTATATTGAAACTCTCTGCGAAGCGACGCATCGAGGAAGCCTGTCGAGATGCATGCTTACTCGACATTTTTCAGAATGCTAGAGTGAGTTTCCGTCGTAAAAGCAAATGGCTGCGTGGTTTAAAGCTCAAAATTATGGAATAACGAGAACCACCGTGTTCATATTTCTGCAGTTTTTATCTCCGTGTCGCAACACTCCGTGTCGTTTCCCATTTTTTCCGACGCGCCGCCAAATTTACGACGCTCGACGTTACAAGCGTCTGTATCTCGTCTCACCTTTTCTTAATTTTTCAGTCGCACGAAAACACGCCGTCGTCGTCGGCTCGCCATAAATTCAAGACGCGCGTGCTCACACCCTTAACACTCGTGTCGTTCCGTCCCGACGGTTCCACTCCCTTCCTCCATTTTCGCCTAAGTCCCCACGTGGCTGGAATTTCAACGGTCGGCCGCGGATAAGTTTATTTCCGAGTAAAAACTTGAACGATCGCCAAAGCCTTCGGCTCTCTCCAGACAAGTGGATTTCGCGAAACTCATTTTCCTTATAACGTATTCGATGACGGCGCCGTTTCTCGCAGCCTGCGGTCTCGATTCGCTTCCTATTCATTCCACCGCTAATTTCGTTGCCCGACTAGTTGCAGATTTTTCCGCCAGCTCGAGATTTATGGCCGACTGAAATTTGAGCTATTCTTCATCCCTTTCTTTATTTTTCACACCTTCGCTTCTATTCGTAAAATGCTGCCGAGCATTTTCACCACCTCTACCGCGTATTTTTCTTCTCGCGCGCATGTTTCACTCCTTCCCTTACTTGTTTTCCTCGTTTCTTTAT